GGCGAGCACACAGGCGCTGCATAATTTAGAACCGGACGGCCTTGTATGTTTGCAACGCCGTTTCTTTGTCTTTGGCCAAGTACTGCCGAATTGAGGACTACGGCTGAATAGGGTAGTACAACAGAACGTAGAAGACCTCTTGCTTGAACTGAGTCTCAGATTTTAAATCCACCATCTGAGTACACGCAGAGAATTTTTTATTAAACCAAAGCAGAAACTAGAAAATCGAGACTTGTTTTTGAACTTGGAAAACAAATTCTTATTATCACAAAAATTTAAGAAAATATAATTTGAAAATAATCAAGAATATATTTTCTTGATGTAGTCTTGATATGCAGTCTGTAGCGTCTGTTCACCAGTAGGTGCGGCTGCATGCGGGTCTCTGTCTTGGAGATCCGGCTCGCTATATAAACGTGTATTTGGTTACGAAGCCACCCCCGTCCCAGCAATGGGTTGTGCGCTGGGTTTGAGATTCGCCACGCAAAAACCCTTCCAGTGAAAAAGCAAAGTAAAGCCTCGGTTGAGACCCCCCTTATGACGACGACCACGCCAAACGTTTAAAGGACTACGATTTGAGGGCATGCACCTGGAATGTCCGGAACGTTAATGGGGAAGTTGCCTCTGCCTGGCTGGTTGATGTCCTCGTAAGGACAAAAGCTGACATCATCGCCATTCAAGAAATGAGTTGGACGGGGAAAGGCAAGCAATGTCCGGGGCCTTGAGACATCCACTACAGCTGCCATGTTAAGGAACGCAAATTCGGTGTTGGTTTTGTGGTGGGAGAGAGACTCCATCGCCAAGTACTTTCGTTCACCCCGGTGGACGAGCGTCTAGCCACAATCATCAAAGCGAGATTCTACAACATTTCGCTCATCTGCGCCCATGCCCCCAAGGAAGAAAACGATGAGGCATCCAAGGATCGCTTCTATAAGCGCTTGGAGCGCACGTTCGAGCGCTGACCCCGCCATGATATCAAAATCGTGCTTGCCGACTTCAATACCAGGTTGGGCAAGGAAGGGATCTGTGGAACCACCGTCGGAGAATTCAGTCTCCATGACGAAACGTCCGACAACGGACTGAGGCCGATCGACTTCGCCGGGACCCGAAACATGGTAGTATTCAGTACTAGGCTTAAGCATAAAAAGATCCATCAAGCTACGCGGCTGTCTTCGGATCGAAAAACGAGAAAACAAATCGATCATGTTGTGATAGACGGAAGGCGCGCTCCGAGTATTTTGGACTCACGTACACCCCGAGGCCCAAACATCAGCTCGGACCACTATCTTGTTGCAGCCACGATACGCACCCGCCTCTGTGCAGCCCAAATATGCAAGGAAAGTTTATCGTCAAAAAGCTCCAATCACAACTGGCAGCCAATGCATCCGCTACTCGACTCTCACACCAGCTCTGGAAGGAAAGACCGTTCGCGCACGGTTCCATCCTAGACGCAATACCGTCTGAAATTAAAGCGCTGCCCATTGACTATATCCTGTCGAAGACCTGGGTTCACCATAAACCCCGTACGAAATTCCCAAGCCGCAGTGACTGGAACCAGGAAGGGTACTTGCAGGGCTTAACTGTCTTTACGGATGGGTCGAAGATGCAATGCGGGGTTGGTACTGGGGTCTTCATTGAGCAATATAACCTAAAATTATCCTCCGCCTACCAGACTATACAAGCGTTTTCCAGGCCGAAACGTTTGCTATTAAGGAGGCAGTAAGGTACATCAAAGACAATGTACCCGCGAGAACGCAAGTGAACATCCTCTCGGATAGCCAAGCGGCTATTCAGGCACTTTCCTCTAACTCTGATAGATCTCAGCTAGTGGATGAATGTAGCAGAGAGCTGGCCTATATTTCTGATCAATACGAAATTACCCTAATATGGGTCCCGGGACATAGGGGCATCTACGGAAACGAGGCAGCGGACGAACTAGCAAGGAGCGGCTCCGCACTGGATGTGTCCCACGCGGTGGACATGGGCGCCTCGCTCAGGGAGATTAAGACAAAAATTACCGCAATTTATCATTCAAAGGCCAGGCAGAGGTGGAACTGCACAAGATCCTATAGAATTTCCCGGCCGTTCTGGGTGTCCTACGACCCACTCAAAACCAAAGCTCTCTTAATGAGCAAAACAAATGCCTACAAACTTACTGCAGTGTGCACAGGGCACTGGCCCGTTGGGGTACATGCCGAAAGGATAGGACTGCCCTTCAATAGGCTCTGTCGCAGCTGCGACACCAGAGGGACAATCCACTTAAACCAACCAACCAACCTCACACCAGCTCACAGAGAGAACTCTTCAACCAACCGACATATGCGCGCAGAGGAACCACATTTCCCGCTCATTAAGTTCCCCGCCGAAAAGGTAGTGGGATTTCAGCGAGCCCGAAAGAACAAGTGGTAAGATGAGGAGTGTCAGGAAGCTGCAGAGAAAAAATATGCCGCCTACAGAGCCACAGCAACCTACGCTTCTCTAATTGCAATAAAAGTCCATAAATTGTAATAAAACAAGAGGAGGTTTGAAAGTAGGGGCTAGAGCCCAGGTGCCACACCTTCAATTTCCTAACAGAGATCCAAAATGGCTGAGGGGTGGGAGATTCTGCTCGAAGCTGGAGATCGAGCAGTCATACAATTTCCCAGACCACTACCGTGTTTCCAAGCCGATAACTCTTCTTATTTGTATCTACAAAAATTATTCGGTTTGGCCCGAGACCAAATATCCACCAAATACTCATGCCAAATGCAGACAGTTTCTTCTGAACTTTATCCTTCCATTGTGTTCTTGTATCCACCGGTGACGATTTTCACAAGAAAATCATCTAACTTAAGAATCAGTTAGAGGTGGCATAACAATAACGGCGTAGCTATAACTTTGTCAAATACATCACAGCTGCTTACGGTTATGCCGAAACGCGAAAACTCAATAGATGCTTACGGTCAATGTTATGTCTACGGCGTTATAGTAGTATGACACCAATAATTGTGCAGGTCTAGAAAAAATGTTCGTTGATATGTAAGTTTACTCAATTTGTGTATTTTAAAAAATTACAAGTCTACATTTGTACATGCGTATGTATGTGTGTAATTTATTTTTCCAAATAGTCGTGATCCCTTTCGATGCAGGCGGGGATACATTTTTTAATATGTACCTCGAAAAACTCTCCCACCAGCTCCTTCGCCCAAGTCAGGGGAATTCGTGGTGATTCAAAACGTCCCATCCATATGAGTCCAGGAGTCTCTTCGATCGAGGTCTGCCATTGTCGTGCGACAGGCAGACTACCTTTGTCAAAACAAAATTTGCTATGGCCATCAGAGCCCCAGCACACTTACTTTCTGCGCGTGCCTCGTACATGTCTAAGCGAGCGCAATTGTAGTACATATTTTTATGCGTTTGCCTATGTCGATGTCACTCTGAAGCTCGTAAGGTTCTTCACCCCATCTTCATCGGTAAACATGTTCCATGCAAACAGGACAATAGGTCCTGCGTAGAATAGTACTCTCGAAACCTTCTGATCTTTTTTAGACTTTGCTGATTCAGTGCCATAGAGAAGGATGGGAATGACGAGAGATTTTTAGACTGCCGTTTCTATTTACCAGATTTTCGGCGCACTTTTGACAATACGCCTCCAACCACTCTACTAACTCTTTTGACGGCAGTAGTACAGCTGTTCGAAGGCCGCGGGCTTAAAACTTAAACAACTCCTATGCACATGACTGAAGCTTACAATTGCTTAGACTATTGCCCTTATTCATAAAAAAATAACTTTAATTCGGATTCATAGTTTAAATTCAAAACATTTCTTCTCCTAGAGGGAGAAACACAAAACAACCACATGGAAGAAAAAATCATAATCAGAACGCTGAATCTGCCTTTGAACAGCTTTATTAAGTGACCTTTTCATAAAAATTTTCCATTTATAAAGCAGTTGAAGTCTTCTTTATTTTTTATGAATTTGGGTGTGCAGTTTGACTTGATCGCAAATCTATTAATATTTATAGATTTTTTGGTAGGTAAATATCGTCGCTCGAATAAAGAAACAGTGTAAATGCCACATACACCATTATTCGATAATTGCACCATTGGATAGACAATCCTTTAATCTATTAGAAAAATCTTTAGTTTTCTTAAATATCTCTTTGGCTCACTAATTTATTCCCGAAAAACGAAATTGTATTTGTATGGTTTGTAATGGTTTATAAAAACTTTCAATTCGTTTTTCTCAAAACTATACTTTTCATGTTACACTATTTCATTATTCCAGCGACGATATTTTCAAGTCGATCCGCATTTGAGGCAAAAAATGTAGTGGGTGTCGTAAACAACAAAACATTTTACGAGCGGGAGGCATGTGCATCATATTCTGTTTATTCATGTTCCAATCCATCCTTACCTATCTATGTATATATATATGTTTGTAAAACACTTTTAAGCCATCTACAGAAAAGCTAAAAATTCCGCGCTTGAGTGGCTTAACGGATTTTGGCTGCACTGTAATATTTCAGCTGCATTCCACTGGCATAACATGCCACGTCGGCTGCGCAGCCGCACACCAACTTCATCCAGCTTCAGCTTAATGCCCAAATACTCATGCCACACTTCTCGCATTCCATTGTGTTCAATCACCCTGAATTTTTATTTTCATCTTGTTACTCATTACTTGTTTCATATACAATTTAGTATGCTTTGCCTTTTCGTTTTTGTTGTTGTTGTTATGACCGTGCTTGCTTTTTTTGTTGTACTGGATTTTGGTTATTGCACGTTGCATGACCTGATGCCGCCCCTAGCTTGGCTGCATGTGTACCAGCTTGTGTATTATGTTACATTCGCCTAAATGCGGGTATGAGTTCTTCTTCTTTCTCTTCTTCTTGTTTGTTATTTCGATCTCTTGTAGTTTTTTGGCTTAAACATTGTATTTGCTATCTTGCTTTCATGCATCCTCTGCGTTGGGCCATACGCGATACATACATACATATGTACATCTATTTGTACGAATACAGAGAATGAGGAAGTGGAGTTAGAGCGAATCGCCACAGCCGCCAGACCAGGTACCTCAATTAAAACCGCGTTTATACCACGGCCAAGTACGAGCACGCTGCGCGCCAGCTCAAAAACATCTGCAACAACACGAAGTAATCTGCCGTTGAGCCAAGGTAGCCGCACAGCGACTGCACAAAGCAACAAAAGCATCAGACCTAAGTCGAGCATGGTAAGCAAAACAACAAAACAGCATTCGATTTGGGTGTTTTAAGGGATAGTATTTGTTTTCGATAGAAACGTCCCGGTACAGCTACGTCCCGGCCAGGCTCCTCTGTCGCCAGCCGACCGGCATCAAGATGTGGCACCGCTTCACGCATTCGCGCTACATCCGCTGCTGCCTACACTGTGGGCGATATCACCGCCAAACTCTATCAGGCATCGCGTCTAAATCCCACTATATATGCTGAACGCGAGGCGCTTATAAAGGCGCTTTTTCAATTTATCTACTATCACGAGTCCGATGTGCAAAAAGCGTATTCTCTGTGCGAGGCAGTCATGGAAGTCCATAAGCAAAAGCGCACCTCGGGTTCGGGTCGTTCGGGCGCGCCTGTCGATTGGTGGTGGGATCAGCAAATAGGCAGATGTTTGCTGGTAATGCGCTTTCCACGAAAGGCCGAGACCTATCTGGTTCAATCGTTGGCGGTTTTCCCACATCCTGACACCTTTTTGTTGCTTTCTCGTTTGTACCAGCGTCTGAGTGAGCCTGATCGCGCGCTGGAGCTCATTGGTATGGCTGTCGACCGGCATCCCTTCAACGTAACTTTTCGCATCGAACAGGGCCGAATATTCGATTCTATGTCTAAGCAGGATGATGCCATGCAAATATATCGTCTCATTACCAAGCTCAATCCCATTAATGTGGAGGCGTTGGCTTCCATTGCATTGAACCATTTTTACGATGGAAATCCCGAGATGGCTCTTATGTATTATCGGTAAGCGTTGAAATATAACAAATGTATGTAAGTATGCATGCATATGAATATGTATATGTATGTATGTATTTTTTATATATTCTACCAGACGGATCCTTTCTTTGGGAATTCACTCAGCAGAGCTCTATTGCAATATTGCTTTATGTTGCTTGTATGGCGGACAAATCGATCTGGTACTACCTTGCTTTCAACGGGCACTTCTGCTTTCCAAAACGTCCGATCAAAAAGCAGATATCTGGTATAATTTAAGCTTTGTGGCGTTGGTACGTACAAACAGTACTAAGGTTTCTACCACACATAGTATATAAATATGTACATAAATACATACACCCAATGCCGAAAACTATCTGTTATTAAATTTACCCAATACACATTGTGGCGGCGAACGTTCGAAAATGACCTCCGATATCCAATATGAATATCAATCTGAGAACGAACTCATAACCAACCTTAGTTTTCTAACGTTCACAGTATATTGGAAATACTCTCGAAATGCGTTCAAAGAATGAGAACCATAAAAAAAGGGAGAAAGTGAAGTCCAGCTCATGCTCGAAATATATTATTATTGTTTCCAAACCAAATTTGACGAGGGATGACGGAAATTCGTGCCAAAATACATCACAATCGCTCTCTCTCATTAAAATTTCAACTCGATAATGGGCTGGATTTCGAATTCATAACAAATTGAAAATATATTGGATAACGAAGATTCCGTTTTGCTGGAGAATGGCCTGGTTCTCGAATCGAATACTAACCTATTTCCCATTCATTATCGAAGTTGGAGCTTGAAAAAAATATGCGTTTTCCAATCATTTTCGAATTTTTAACCAATCCCACTCGGAGGTTTGCCCTTAGCGACCGCTATTAGAAACAAGGAATAAAACCGATTCAAGATAACGTTCCAGTTTTGGTTTCGGTTTTGCCAAGTGTTTCGGTTTCGGTTTTGGTTTCATTCTTCAAAATTTGTTTCGGTTTCGGTTTCGGGTTCGTTCCGGTGAAACAAAATGAAAACAAGTTATTAAAAGAAATTATTTATTAAATAATTATGTACCTTCCAAGGTTTGTTTTTGGCGAAATTAAACATTGTGATCATTTTTAATCTATATAAAAAAAAACACCTCTGAATCAATTATATAAACTAATGACCATATTCCACCACATTTGCTTAGATCCAAATGCAGAAATTTGTTTATTATTATATTTATTATATAATGAGGGTTGTTGCTGGTAGGTATTTTATATACATACATATAAGTAAGTGTGATTTTCACAAAAATTTTGTTGATATTATTTAAAATCACAATGTCTTAACGTTAATGATATTAACACTAGGTTCTTTCCCTAACAATCCGGACCGGACGCGGTAATTAGAGAATAAGAGAAAAATTTGGTTTCCAACAAAGTCCAGAAGTTTAGGAACGCAAAAAACCACATTTCGTGCCCACAATTTGAGAAACAGTTGATTCACGCTGTTTTTGTTTTTTCCACTTAAATGCAAACACTTGGAAATTGATTTTTTTCCACAAATTTGATTTTAGGTATATAAAGATTGAAAATACATCAACAGGCCATTCACTATTCCTTTAAAACACCAAGCAAATGCAGGCAACATGTAAACACAAAACAGCTGATATGCACTTTAACACTTTATCCATATTTACCCGGAGAAAAAGTCCGGACTATTTCGGGCAGGAAGAAGAAGACACTACCGAACCAATAATTTCCAATTCTCGCTCTCTATTACCCATTTTGTTGAGTACGGGAATGATTTCTGGGCTGTTTTGGGCACCCGCGGGATCCCACGTTGCGTACGGGAAAGAAACTACTAAAATAAAATTAATCGATTATCGATTCACAACAACAAAGTCATCCCCAGATGCACAGCAACAACGTCATCACCAGATTCACTTAAATGTTTCCTTTTTGTTGTAAAATTGAATGTGTATGAAAACTAAAATATAATTGTTATTTTCGTTAAATATTTACTAAATAATTATGAGACCCCTTTATTTCTGTGCGCTTTACAAATATACATATGAAAATTAAAATCTAAATGACTTCTTCCAAATAACCGATACCAGATCGGGGATTTATTTTATTAGGCACCTTTTTATTAGCTTTTTGCGAAAAGGTACCTTGCCGTACTCATTTACTTCTTAACAAAAATTTTAGCAAAATATTTTTGATTTTGGTTAAATAAATCATCAATTTCAAAGAAATTTTTATTTATTATTTTATAAATTTTTGGAAACTGATTGAAACTTGTGATTGAACCTGACAAAGCTTCACAGGGCAGATAATGTGCCTTTTTGCCTTACAGCAGTGTGAAATTTTAGGAAACGAACATACAATTTTCTCACCCTTTGCAGTGATGGTACATACTTTTTTGGAAAATCCCCACTCAACAAAAATAACATCCCCACTTTTCCCTACGCGTTAAAAAATGTTTCCCCACGAAATTCCCTACAATTTTTATCTAATAATTCCTTATAAAATTAAACACGGAAGGTTCAATGTTTAGAAAATTTATTATAATATTGTGTTGATGTGTACTAGAGGTCTACGCCGATAGATATAGATAGAAATAATCGGCGGCAACGACGCCGTCGTCTCAAAAAGCGCCGGTAGATCTGGCCATTAGTCACATACCAAAGAACATAGGAAACCAATTCTTTTTTTTCAATTTCGCAAAATACTGCTAAAAAGAACGCCTAATAAATATTTGCAATCGGTGCATGTGCTTGTTTATTGAAATACTTTAATATAAACAAGTAAGAAAGTCTAAGTTCGGGTGGAGCCGAACATTAAATACCCGGCGCAAGTATTAAATATATGTTTTTTCACCTTTCCGAAAGCTACCGCTAGATGGTAAGCCGGGGGTATCAATTTTGAGTAAATTAGCGTCCTTAAATTTCGAAGTATTCCAGTTTCAAGCATTTCTGAAATTTACCGTTATTTGAAAAGCGGCCGTAATTTTAGTCCGATTTCAATAATTTTCAACGTTTTGCTTTTATGTGGCAAGGACAATAAAAATACCGACTTTGGTACAAATTGGTAGAACGGTATATATATATGTGATCATAAGTGGGCGGTGCCACGCCCATTTTCCAAAATTTTACCATAAACGTATTTCTTGGTAAAGGATTGTTGCAAGCATCAATTTTGAATAAATTAGCTTTAATATTTACTGATTTATCGAAGATTTTGTATTTCTCTAAGTTACCGTTATATGGGATGCGGGCGTGGTTATTGTCCGATTTTTTAAATTTTCGGCCATTTAGTATGCTGTATCAAGGCCAACAACTGTGCCAAGTTTGGAATCAATTTTGATTGAATTATCTTCAGTAGTTACTAAAATATCGCAGTTTTCGTATTTCTGGAAATTACCGTTATATGGGAAGTGGGCGTGGTTACTGTCCGATTTCGCCCATTTTCAATACCAACCTACCTTGGATTAACGGAAACCTACATACGTTGAGATATCTCAATTTTTGCTCAAGTTATCGTGTACACGGACGGACGGACAGACGGACAGACGGACGGACAGACAGACATGGCTTAATCGACTTCTCTATTCATTCTGAGCATTTATGTATACATTTGTCTATATCTATCTCGATTCGTTTTGGCTGTTACAAACAACCGTTATGTGAACAAAATTAATATACCCTTGTGCACAAGTGCGCTCGGGTATAAAAATAATCGATTAACCAATCAGCTAATAAATAAATTGAATAGCATAACTCCACGGTCATAATTGTGTTTCAAAATAGTCAGAACGATAATCACTTCACTTTTCCTCCCAAATCACTCCGAAATATTTCACTCCAAAATTAGCAAATGACAGCACTGCTACCAAATATATGTAATTAGAGTGAGAACACGGTACACCATTTTGCATATTCTCGTTTCAGTTCGCAGACATTGTTTACTTTTTTAATAACAAAATAAACAACTTATCGTTGTAAAAAGTTAGTGCTTTTTGAATAATTTAGTTATTTTACTAATGTTTTAAAGGTAAAAACTGGCGATATAGTGCGTTTTGGACCGAGTAATTGCTCCTGCAAACGAACTATACCCCATAAAAGTTTTCTGTCAATAACTTTAAAATGGC